CATGTACTAACATTACGCTGCTTTTACTGCATTTGTTTATTTTTGTGGCCATACAAACTACATGACATTTTCGACATGATTAAGGTGCATTCTCTTGGATGTAATATTAAAATTTATTTTTTGCACTTCAAAAAATTTCAATTTTCATTAGCTTTTTTTGAAAAAAAAAATTATGCATCGGTAAAGACATTTTGGTTAATATGTTTTGACCATAATGTCTTTCCCTACGTTGTGTATTTGTTAACGGTGGAGATTTACAGAAAGGGGAGACTTTCATAAGCACGAATAGAACAATCTCAATTTCACCACTTAAATTTTGTGTGTGGCCTCCGAGAAGCATGCTGCCTGCTCGCAGGTAGTTCAGACACTTATGGACTAATTACATATGAATTTTCTTCTCTTAATATTAAGCATCGGACAATTATTTTCCATACCAAAAATGGTTCTACAAAACAAACTATACATAACGTAAACAACAACAGTGAACGGCATAAAGAAGAAACAGTGAAGTTGATGCATATAGTTTGTGAGGTAAGGTATTAGTCAAATCATCCCAAAAATTATCCTGAGTTGAAATGGAAAAACCCCCAGTAATATTTGAATAGAACCTGCAGTGTATCGGTTTGTGTAAAGTGTAAGTCAAAATATGTATGAAACACTTTCAGTATGCTAGACGTTTGAACAATTTTAGTAAAACACTCGTGTTGAATTTTTGTTTTTCGTTGAGAACGGATATGTATGCCTCATCTTTATTTTGACTACACAATTGCAAAATTCTAGAGAATTGGAGATATTTAGCCACAATATCCCAAATCTTGAATATTTGATCAACCTGTAGCCAAGAAGATCTTTCAATATAAAGTGTGCCCATACAGCTGTTTTTTTTAATAAAATTAAGAGCAACCGTACGGACATTTTACTGATACACTGTATAAAGCCTATGTCATTGACGCTTGAACTCAGTGAAGGTGATTTATATGACCTCTGAAATTTAATCCAGAAGTGTTAGTATTTACTCTGTTACTTTCAGTTACAATAAGTCCGCATGTATGTATTACCTCTATCAATTGGATATTAGTATTACATACACACTTCCAGGTTTGAACATATTATTTTCAAACCTAGCGCGTATTTAGTTTAATTTTGATGTTTAATTTATAAATAATAATAATCCCTCCCCATGGACATGGAGGTTGACGTTACTGAAGCAAAGGGTTATGTTTAATTTCTTTATATGTATTTGCAACGATGATGATTTCCTATAGTGACACATATCACCTTCTTAATGCTTCAGTATGCCTCAAAAGATTAATTCTTGGTTGTTAATAGAACTTCCTTGATGCAATCGGCTGCTTCATGCAGACTGAGCAATTCTGATTATAGTATCAGATTTGTTCTGTATACAGAGGAACTGGGAGGGCTTATTAGAAACTTCTCACCAATAAAGTAATGATCTTCTAGTAAATTTTGCATATCATTTTATTAAAATTTTATTTAATTTTAGCATACTATTTTTGTTATAGTCAATTGGCATTAGCATACAATACAAGAGATTTAATATTACTTGCTCGGTTTTGCGTAAAATAATCAATATTTATTTTGCTTGTAATTACATTTGAAAGTTTTTTTTGTGGTCTCAAAATTTTCCTAGTTTGGTTAGAAGTTTCGAAGCTAACGCATGTCCACAGGCCTAATAGAAAGATAGACAGAAAAAGTGTACCATGAAAAATGGTTGCATGCAGGGTTGCTTCCACTCACTTGCTATAGATGAGTGATTGTCGGCGTTTTGAATTCGTTAGATGTTGTAATGGAGATTTGTGTTGTTGGATGCGGGAGGAGATTGGAGGGCGGGTGTTTGACGCATAGAGCCTGTCAGTTTCGCTTTCAGAGTGTCGCAGTAAGCGGTTTTATGATTCGTGAGCGCTCGCGATTCGTAGAATCGTTGATTGTGACTGCAAGTGGATTTGGCGGGTTTTGTGTGTCGGACGCTTGCTTTTTGGCCTCTTCTTGTGTCTAACATGTGTAGAGTATCATTATAACGTCTAATGGTTTTGAGATTCCTGGTTACGTGAAATATATTTGTGAGGATATCTTTTTGAGATTTTAGTAGTCACGTTTTGTTTATAGTTTATTTCTTTCATGTAATTATCGTAAATAATAGTTATTCAATAATTGATAATTCATCCATATATTCAAAAATAAATTAACCAATGACTATAATTTGGATACCTAACAATTGGACAGAATCACTAGCAAGAATAGGTTGCAGAGTGTTCGCCTTCGAAAATATCGATACGTTTTTTCAGGGTTGTAGTTTTGGTTTTCATCAGTAGTGGATTTAGGTAGTATTTTTAGGTAACTATTTAGCTTTTAGCACAACTTTGCTACTACGAATCCACAAAAGACATTAAATTGGAGGCGGATTCTGGTACGGAACTACAGGCTGCTATTCTGAGCAACTTATCTAAATAAAATTAAAAATTACATTCAGGTATTAGTTAGCAAATGTGGATAGTAAGTTAGATATGTTATGGTATGAACTTTTGCAACGTTTTTTTTTTTTTCATCCAGTTCACTTTAAAACAAACAAGTATGAAAGGAGATTGCTTAGAATAAAGATAAAAGTAATAAGCGCAATATTAAACGACCTTAAATTTGAATCTGATACGGTAGGTCATATAACAGAGTCGATAGCCATTGCATATCAACCATCTCTTCCTGCTTATTTTCCTAACTTTCACTATTATTGCTGTTACTCTGACTATCCCCTATGTTCAACAGCTTTCCTTACTATCCGGTATCGTAAACAGGATTCATTTGACCCCTGTGATGCCAAATCTATACCTCTACCCTGGTGCAGTATGGACAAGGATTTTTCGCTGGTGACTTGGCCCTATGACCCCCTTCTGTGCTTGAAAATGAAAATGAAAAATGAATAATTTATAAATAATAATAATAATAATAGGCTCGGTCTCATATGTTCCGCTGGTCTGCCGCCATTGATTGCTTCTTTTGGAATCCCTTGTACTTTTTCTCTAACGCTTCATATTTCATTCCGTACTTCACCGGCAATTTACTTCCGTAGATCGTCCTTGGTCGGTTCTGACATGATTCCGCCTTTTTCAGGTTTTTCTTGTTTTCCGAGGGAGATAAATCCGCACTAATTTCCGTACCTGGTTCGATGTTTACTCGCTGGTTGGTGTAACCGATATCATGTCCACCATCTGTTACTGTATTGGCATGTTCATCTGGCATAAGGCTCGCGTCTTAAATCGCTGGTCCACCGAGCACTCGGGATGAGTCATTGAATCAATGTAGAGTTTAGTATGAGATTGTGTTACATGCAAAGTACGAAAAGAGAATGAATGGAATTCGAAACGGATTAGTTTCAAGAAATGATAGTTTCATCAGATTCCCCAACTAACCATACTGAAACAAAGTAAGTAAATACAATCTATATTGCGACTAAATGGTTACTTGGATACTTATATGGCGGTCAGAATGATTCATCGGTTGCGAAGTGAAGTATTGCTAAAAGTGATGCGTTATATTTCTCAATGTTTTGATTTTATCCTCAATGTTATATCATAGACAAACAGACACAACACATTGAACATTTATCATTGTAAACACTATCGCCATCTGTTGTGTACACTCAACAGATGACTGTAGCGTGTAAACGTAAAACGCAAGGGAATTGATTATGCACGCCACAAGTGGCGGTAGTACCAACTAAGAAACATTTAAATTGTCCGTTAAAAGCGATTTCAATGAACATCTTAAGCATGTTATGTCTGCTTGTCGATTATCATAACTTCACTATCGCAACTCCGGGTTATCTGCGAAAGTGCTTGCATTTTTCTCAGACACTTTTGATCTAACTGCAATCACTCTCTCATACTCGAAATGTGCCACGACCAAATTGGCACAACGACGCCCTTTACGCTCTGACCAAAGCGCAGGGATAGGGGGAAATGGATGTAATGTCGGCCTAAATGCCCCTAATTTGGGCCCATACATAAATTCAACAATCAACTAAATTTTCAATAGCGACCAAAAATAGCCATTACTACCGTCCCAATGACGCGTTCATCTAGATAAAATTGATAAATGGCAAATTTTTAGCGATGGGCCCCATCTGAGATCCATAGGCCAACATTAGAGCCATTTCCCTTATATGTTAGATAAATTTTCTAATAAAGTTTGTTTCCCTCAAACACCCCACCCCCTTCTAAATGCTTACGTAATTATTGAATGTTCGAAATAAAACTCTTAATTGATAACTGCGCTTCGAAGAACACTAGTTGAGGGCAGCGTATGAGCGTCGAAACTAGGAAAAAGAAGAAGATTGAAGAGATATATTTAGGTATACTTTATTCCTTTATTTAACTTCGGTTTCTGTTCCGCAATCTAGTGCCAATCACAGACGGACGTCGATTGCCATCCATTGACGGCAATCGAATGTGTAGGAAGGCAGCTTCCACATCTGCGAAGGATATCGCACCCATTTTCAACGCACACGGGTTGGGACCAACAACGGCTTTACTTCCCTTCCGAAGGAAGACGTGACCAATATTTAGGTATAGTCGAATAATTTTCAGTAACAAAACACTTGACTTGCAAGAAGGATAATAAGTCTATGGATTTCACTCTGTTTCAATTCTACTCAGTGCCTGAGTTGATTTGAAATAGAGTCTGAAGTAACTCGGTTAGCTAAAGCTGAGAATCCCAACACTGAGAAAGTGATACGTTTGCCTTACCATCTAACGAGCCACCTCAACTATAGCTAGGTCTTTTGTGTAATGCGAGTGTCTAAACTATAACGGCGCCTTTTTACCGTCTGGAGATAAGCCAAAAAGCATACATCAGACGTATCCTACAATTCCCGGTGCCAGTGAGATAACTATTGTGTCACACGAGCAGAGACCCACTATGATGTTATTCTACCCATAAAACTAACTCTTTTCTTTATCGTTTCTCCTTTCTTCTCCTGCTTTCAGGTTGATCAAAAATGAGACTGGCCGTGCCATCCTGCGAGTGATATCAGGACCACGAGCATTTAAAATAGTATTATTCACTAGACTGACACCGATTCCCTTCGGACTGCAGAATACGATTTTCGGGGTAAGTTGACAACTAAAACAAGCGAGATGGTTTTCCCCTATTTCAAGAACTTAGCTGGAAGGAATATTTTAACGTCGATTTACATCATCAGGTGGTGCTTTCGTAGTCAAATATTTAGCTTCTTTTCAACAAAGCCGGATTATGAAAAAAACCCTGCACAGAAAATCCCCTTTTTGCTAGTCTGATGTTTAAGTAGTGTTTTCGTGGTCGCGACTGAAACATGTTTCGGTTTTTCGATTACACAATGTTGTGACACGTTTTACGCCTTGGCTCATTGACCTTTCTAACGTTTATAACACGCACACTTGCGTAGTCCTATTTTCAAGTGCAAAGTTTGGATCCTCACAATCGCTCCAGCCAAAAATGTTGGTTTGTTATTTATTGGTATCCTCACTTTCGGCCTATCAATTATCGTCCGCGTAGAATGGACTATTGTTGAATAAGCGCAAATTGTCTTAAAGACAAATCGACAAAAAGCCCCAAGTCTTCTGTCGCTGAGGATCACGTGTTAGTGTCATTTGTCGCGTTTGCCTTTGATTGATCGATCCGCCGTCATGCATGTATGAGCTTACCCTAGCTTACCTACCTGCAGTTTGACGCGACGAAGCGAAATAAAAAAAAACTGCGTTAAAATGTAAGACACGACGTTATTCATTGTCACTTGGAGACTACTCAACGCTGACTAATGTTTTTCCTCGGTTGATCCGTTCCACTTTCGCACCGTCACACGGATCTCGGACGATACAACGATAGACGCCCCCGTTTCTCCGCCGACGGAGTTGGCGTTTGTACTTGGCATCAATGGGATGGGTTTCTGCTGCACGTTTTTCACTCACATAAACAAAAAGCGAAAAACAGACCCATTTGACGCAGCGGGTGTTTGTGTATTTTTCTTCTTCTTTTGGGAACTGTTAAGAATGAAAATTATTTTCCCAGTCTTTCACAATGCTACGAACCGAAAACGTAAACAAATCGATAAAAGTCGCCTGTTTTTCTCAGTCTTTGAGCCGCGAAACGCAAGCTACAGCATGTTTGATTCTGTCATCTGTGAGGGGGTTTGATCTGCGTTTTTGCTAAATCAGATAATAAATCTTTTGAAATTGAATTCTGTTTACTCAAGAGCAGAGATTATGCCATTTTCTCGAGCATTTGCATTGCTTTTGAATCATGGTTCATTGGGCATGGCGCCGTGTTCCACTCTGGTTGGCGCTGGTTTGCTTGCAGTTTATTTCTCGGCAGGTTGTGTTAATTCCCTAATAAAATGTGTATGGTTATTGGACTTGCAGGGTATCATCCAAGCCATACGTGGAATTATCAGTTGGGTTATCGTTCGGGTATGGTATTTTTTTTACTAAGGTTCATGATTTGAGTAATTCCAATCTAAAAAGAGAGGGTTTTTAAATAGATCTTTCAACGATTCTGTAATGCTTTATACGCGGTATTCGACAGAATCAACCACGATATTGCTGTGGCATAGTTGGAAAGGCTTGGCATCGGTAGTTCCCTACTGCATTGGTTCCGATCTATCTCTGTGGCAGAAGCACTAGAACCAAAATTGGTGACGAATTGTGAGTTCCATTCCCAGCCCTGTCTGGTATTCCTCAAGGTAGCCACCTTGGGCCATTGATCTTCCTGTTGTATTTCAATGATGTCAACCTGTTGCTGAAATCCCATTGTTTATCCTTTGCTGATGATCTCAAAATCTACATGCACGTGAAAACGTTACAAGATGCTATGGAACTTCAAGACGACCTGGAGACAGGTGGTGTGAGATGAATTAAAATGCTCTTAAATCCCAGTAAATGTACTGTACAAATACTCTAGACATCTTCCTATTTTTTTAAATAAAATTTATAGAATTCTAGGTGTTGTTTAAAATGCCTAGATAAACTTGGGAGTAATTTTAACATAACGCTATCTGCGATGATGATAACGTTGGGTTCGAAATTTTTTGATAATGTTAATCTTAGTCCTAAAGTTAACGCTTATTATTATGATTGATTGCCCTATTGCAAGAGTTGATGCAATGTATTGTAACTGAGACATTTGTGGATAATGTTAGGGTGTAATTCTACATCAACAATAGAATCTATATCTACTATCGGCGGATCTACCATTTGTAAACAATGGCTTTAAACACAATTATCTCGACAATCAAAATACATTGACGCAATCTAGCACCAGCATCTCATAGAGCAAACTTCCTTTATCGGTATTGTTAGTTGGCGTGGGTGTGTTTTGATTCACGAGAAAATTGCGCTTAAAACCATTGTTTACAAATGGTTGATCCGCATTTTCAATTAATGATGATGATGATGATGGTCCCACCTCTTACCCCTACAAAGGTTTGAGCTGGACGAGTTATCTTTAAGATAATTAAATATAAACATATTAACCAGGTTTGCAAACAAAATCGAGCTGGTTACAATTACAGATATAAATGTCCTGTTAAATATGCTATAGGCATCAACCAAAAACATTCAAAGGGTAGCTAGTTATCAAAAGTCCAAGTATAGTCCTCGACAATACTTCCATTTACACGTGACCTGGGATTTACACGTTTAAGCTTCCGCAGTGCCAGGACTATATCCAAGGAAACGACTTCCAGCCAATCCTTTACTAATTTAAGGCTTTTGCCACAATTTCCACGTATTAGTCATTTATACCTGTATTCCGCGCGCGAGGCTCAAACCATTGTAGACTACTCAAAGCTATTTTTACTATTACTACTACAAAATCAAAAAAACTAAAAATCCATCATCACCATCGAGGCAAACAATGTAGTTTTTTGTATATGCTACACAAATTACTAAAATGTCTTGATGACAGTCTCCATACAAACTAATCCGTTAGTGATAACTTTGTCAAGATACATGATTTATCCATTCATAAAAAATTAACTGCTCAATAAACAGCTTTTACATGTGAAATGCAGCGTCTCTTGAATTCTGTAAGTGTAGTTGCACGCTTGATGTGTCTAGGCATCGAATTGAAAACATTTATACCTTTGAAAAATAATGAATTTTGTGAAGCATTATTCAAAAGATGTGGTGTTCTTACTTCATCCGCGTTTCTAGTGTTATATCTATGAAAATCACTTCCTCTTTCAATCCGATCACACAAATATCGAGGCAGCAAACCGTTAACTACTTTAAAAATGAACACCATAGTCAAAAACACAATTCTTTGCTTCACTGACAGCCATTGCAAAGCGTCCAGCATAAAAGTTGAGGAAGTGAATCTATTACATCTTAAAATCAAACGCATTACTTTATTCTGCAAACGCTGTAATCTCGATATTTGTGTTTCATTGGCCAAAAATAAAATGGAAGGGCAAAAGTCTAGATGAGGGGAGATGATTGATTTGTATAACTGTATTTTACTACCAATAGTTAAATCGTTTTTCAAGCGACATAGGATTCCATACTTCTTGGCAATTTTCTTGATGACATTGTCAATATGAGAATTGAACTTGAGTTTGTCATCAATAATCACGCCAAGATATTTAATTTCCTGAACGCGATCAAGTGTCTCATCATCAATAACAACAGAGACATCATCATCTACACGATTCCGCGAAATTACCATGAATTTAGTTTTACTTATATTCAATTTCAATTGTTTATACTTCAACCATCTACTTAGAGAACGCAAATCTTCATTCAAGCGTGAAACGGCTTCTTCTAAATCTTTAGCTGCAATGAATAACACAGTATCGTCAGCAAAAAGATTAATATCACAAAACCGTAAAACTCGTCGCATGTCATTAATATACATAATAAATAAAAGGGGCCCTAATACACTTCCCTGAGGCACTCCAAGGTCATTGTCAACGGGACAAGATACAAAATCATTAAAAACAGTCCTTTGTGTTCTGTCAGATAAATAGCTTTCAAACCATTTGTATGCAGAACCCGAAATTCCAAAGCGCTTGATTGTTCTCAACAATAAGGGCCTAGAAATTGTCTCAAAAGCGCGTTTTAGATCCAAAAACACAGCAACAATCGTATCTTTATGCTCCAAATTTTCTTTCCATTTAGCTAACACTAAGTTTAACGCGGTTTCACAAGAATGGCCTTCCCGGTATCCCGATTGTTCCGGTATCAACAAACAGTTACTATTTAAATATTCTAACAGCTGGCCTTTTACAACAAGTTCTAAAATTTTCTCTAATGTGTGCAACATGTTGATGGGACGAAACTCTTCGGCTTTAATCGTCCCAGCAACTTTTTGTATAGGAACAACTAAAGATTCTTTCCAAATATGCGGCACGTGCCCAGATTGCAATGATTGATTAATAAGGTCCCGCAGAGTGTGTCGAATGACATGAAAGCAATCTTGAATAACTCTAGCATTAACATTATCTACTCCAGCCGTTTTTCCTAATGAAAAGCAAATATTTTTAAGTTCATCTAATGTAATTGGGTGAAAACCATTAAATCTACAATTACTATTAATCGGCTGTTTTATTTCGTCCGGTTCATTGATCAGTTCAATAGATTGATTGATCAGTGAAACGCTCTCAACGAAATAGTCATTGAACTTAGAAGCAATTGCTGGTTCTGACTGTTCTAATATGCCATCAAAAGTTATGGTCCGCGATTTACAATTACTAGGCTTCATCAAAGATTTCAAAATTTTCCATAACTCTTTGCTGTTGTTTTGATGCTGATCAATTTTCCTCTGAATATATTCACATCGAGTTTTCTTAATTGATTGTGAATATTTATTACGCGCGACCGTGTACCTATTCCAATGATTATCACTATTAGATCTACAAAACTTTTTGTACCATTTGTCCCTCTTACGTTTAAGACGCAAAAGATCCAAATTGTACCAGCTGTTCGAGTTTTTCAAAGAAACAAACTTTTGTTCAACTAATTTATTGGTACAAGTTTTCAAAACGTTAGTAAGAACAGCTGCATCTTCATCTAAAGTTCCGGTAACTAATGGAAAATCCACGCTTCTCTCAACAAGATTCGAAACAGCTTGCTTCGAAT